GGGGGGGGGGGGGGGGAGGGAAGGAAAAAATCCGCGACTTCGTCTACACGCGCGTTGGTCCCTTTCCACGACTTTCATGCGTTTACGAGTGATCCTTGGCGTATCCGCCGGTATCACGGTGACGGCACTTGAATGCACGCACAGTTCTAAAGGCTAAAGTTCGCGAACGACTGTTCCCGAAAAGTCGCGGGATACCACGCGACCACGAGCCTCGACAACGCGAACCGGACGGTTTTCCGCGCGCACGCGGTGACGTACGAGAGCCGATCGATCGATCGGCTGAAAGTTGGCCCAAGTGTTCCTTAAATCGCATATGATACGTGCCTGAGAACGCCGCGATAATCTTACGTCTTACAAAAAAGGAAAAAAAAACAAGAAAATCTTACAATTCTCCCGAGACCGTGTCTTAGCGTATCACTGCTGCAGTATGCAGGTCAGTATAACAACAGCCTTAACATGTCGGACAGTTCAAACTTCCCCAAGACACGTTGTTCTTCAGACGTATCCCCGAGATGTCTTTAAGGCTCCTGATTCTTCGCCGCGGCCATCTCGACCAATGACGTCCGAAGCGAGGAAACATTCGAGTGGAACGACGGATCGATAAAGTGATGTCGTTTTATGGATATTTATATCTTTTTATATGTCAACGTATTCGGCGGGAATTTTCGACATACGTTTTCTCGCCTCTGACGACTCAAAATGGCTAAAATGGCCGGAAATAGCGGGAAGGGGACGCTTTAAAGCGTATTTCGGAAGTTTGTACTATCTGGCATGCCGAATCTGGATTGTAATTCCATCATTGGTCGGAAGCTTCATGCACGCTCTGATGGAAATATTACTGAAAATTTTACTGAAATTCTCTCGCAATCGACCCCGTTTCATCGTCATTCCGTCAATGCACGCGGTTTTCAGATAAATTCAGTAAATTTCGACAGTATAACTCTGCTCATATTCGGATACTGGTATACTATAAACTCGACGAACAGTGAGATGAAAGTTGTTGAAAATTACTGAAATATATCATGATAAATGCTTCGAAATAAGTCATAATCTTCGCCGTGAAATTCAACGTAATTCTGTGAAATGAAAATCAAAGGGAAAACTGCGTATATCGATGAAAGGGGGCGAATTGGGGGCGGTGTTTCGGCAAAATAGTTCCATCGGGGCGGTCAATGGAAGTGAGCGAGACGGTCAACGTCTTAACATACGAAACTTACGTTACCTTTACAGAACGTGTATAGTGTATTTCATAAAATGTTATATTTCCTGTGTTACATTACACTTCTAAAATGTTACAACACTTCGTGTGTGTCACGGCCATTGTGCCGATCTGTCGATTCGCAAATGCGCAAACATTAGGCAGTTACGATGGCGGCCGAGCGAAGCGCATTCGACACTTCGTGAACGTTCCCATCGCGCCGCTTCGAACTGAAACGGATGATCGTTGGTGTTTTGCAGCTGTTGTTGCGTGTATGTGATATATCGATAATCGGTTAGGGCCGTCGTTACACGTTACACACGTCGGCGTGCGTTGACGCCGGCGCTCTAGAAAAATAGCACGCACACACTGGTACGTCGATTCGTCGCGGTTGCGCGCGACAATAATGTGATAAATCGCGCGCGCAACTGGACATTCTCACGTCGATAAAACGTAAACGCGAACCACGTCAAGTGGTTCGCCTCGAGTCCATACTTTCACGTCGGTTGTTTGCGGAGCTTTAGCGATAACAAACCTACTTTCATTTTCTCTCCCTCTCTCTTTTTCTCTCTTTTTTTTTCTCTCGACTATATAAAATATATCGTCGCATGTCTCGCACGCAATTAAACTAACACGGTGACGAGTCGACGAGAGAACCACGTCGAAGAAGCGGTGAAGCACGTGTTGTGGTTCACGCTTGGTCGCGTGGCTCGGCACTTCGTCAACCCTCGAACGGTCCGAGACGCAACCCCGTCGCCGTTCTCGAGGGGATAAATATATGAGGGGACAATCGGAAACTGAGGGAGGAGAAGTACGGAATTCAAATTGAAGGCACTCCCGGCGAAAACGCATCGATCCGATGATGGGCACGAAAAACGGTGTATATGTGTGTGTGTGTGTATATATATATATACTATATGTTGGCGTCAAGCTTTACGTTGTTGCCAGGAAGAACGATTCGAGTGCAAACATTCGACGTCACGAAAAGGTACACGGTCGCGATAGCGACTCGCAGGAAATACGCCGCCGCGTCTTGCACATCTATGAAGGAAGACATTCTAGGAATGTAAAGAAATTGCACTAATCCCTAAAACTACATTTTCCTTTAGCTCTGATCTCTCTGTGACTTAGCGATAAGGACACCTGATGAATTTTACTTTTTTTTTTACTATACTTTATATGGTGTTCGTGTTGTATAATTCTTCTTCTTGATATAGAGATGATACGAAGATAGGAGGTTAGGTTTCACGAAGGAGACATATCCTGGAGTCTCACAGAGAATAAAAGTGCAGGAATAAGGAGTCGGGAAGTACAGGAACGTGTATAGATCCGCGTTAATGTCTGTACACTTCCTTTTTAATCTAGAATCCATTCGAAGACGACCTCGCAATTTTCTATTTCCGGAAGCTGACAGGAGTTAACCTTTGAAAAGGATTAAGGTCTCTCGAGATGTTATGTTTCAATGAGAACCGTCAAAGCAGGTTTCCACGCCGTTCAAATAAAATGAATAAATCTAAGACCGTTGTAGACGCAGCATGCCCTGGAGACGTTGCATCTCTTTCAGTAATTCGCGATTTGTGTCCTCCAAAGCATTCAACTTATCTTTGTACGACGTATTCTCGGCCATCAAAATGTCGACTCGCCTCTCTAAGCTGTCCACATACTCCTTCTTTTTCCTTCGCGATTCTTGCGCCGAAATCTGCAACATACATGAAAATCGAGATTTTTTATGTCAAAATTTTATCATTCATTTTATAATTTTATTAGATATATAATTATATAGAGAGACATGTGTGTGTGTGTGTATGTGTGTTTATATTTATATATTTATACACACGCATAGTAATCCTTCGCTTTACACGATTGTGATTAAGATGTGATTAACATTTTTCAAACTAACAAAATTTACTAATTATTGGAAGAGAAACGAAACAAAAAATAGAGAGTCTTTATATCTTATTAACACGTTTTCGTTTATTATAATGTTCATTTACCACGGGACATTTCAATCGTATAAAGTTAAGGATTCATTTGCACGCGCGTGCTTCTCTTAAAGCGATTTGTTCACCTTGTTCTTGATTTTCCTCCGTATTTTTTTCAAAGATTTCTCCTCCTGTTTACTCAGGGGAAGCTTCGTCGGCACAGGATATCCTTCGGCTAACAGGGTCCTCTTTTCTTCATCCGTCAATACTAACAATCCCGTGGATCCCTTCTGTAACAATGATCGCACGTAAGTGCATCACGTTAGTACATCGGATCGATATTTGACAGTAAAAATAGACACCATCGTGCCACGGATATGACGAATGGTCACGGGAATGGAACGTCCAACGAGCGAAAATCTCACAGGTATAAAAAAAAGTTTTAAATTTGTTTACCGAAGACCCAGTAACCTTGTTGATGTAACGGTACGCAAAACCGCGCACATTAACATTATGCAAATATTCAATTATGTAAATCGGCTGATTTATCTTTTCAGGTTGTGAAAAATAGCTTTCAGAAAGTGTTACGCATAAACTATCGCGTAAGTCATGACATTAAAATAATTCAAACCGGCCTTAGCAAAAAATTTTCTTCCGTGAAATCGTCAAACTATAATTGCCAAGAAAAGTTAAGGATAATGTAAAATATATTTAATTTCGATGATATATATGACTGAAAAAATATAACGAATACATAAGAGAGAGAGAGAGAGAGAGAGAGAGAGAGAGAATGAGTGGTGCAAAAATCTATTAAGAGCCATATTTAATTGAAAAGAAAATGAAAAAAAAATAAACAGGACCGGGCAAATTATTTTATCCTCGCGAGAGCGCGCATTCTCGGACCGAAAATCCTGTCCTCTTCTCTCCCGCCCTTTTCTAGTCGCGCGATTTATCTCGTATTTATCGCATAGGTCGCGTTAATCCGTCGGTCTAACGATGATCGACGCAAAATTAATGACGATGGACTCTTGTTCGCGTCTTACCGGTTGGCAGGAAATCAAGGGCGTGTGAATAGGCTGCCTGGTGGTGTGACTGCTGCTGGTGGTGACGTAAAGCCTGGACGGCGCCAGTAATCCTTTGAGATTCTGCACGTGCGTCTGAGAATCTCGGCGTTCCGGCGAGCAGGAAGCGGACGCGGTACCCTCGCTGTCCGAGCTCGCGCTGCTCGGCGGCGTCGGCGGCAACCCCTGTCGCGACGTTCGCAAAATCGTTTGTTTCGCCTCGTCGATCAAGTTCGAGTCCTCGATTTCCACGGCCTGAAAATGCAAAGAGCCCGTGCTGATCAGCGCTGCAGGATCGATATAAGTGAATTATCGAGGCGCACGCCTCTCTCTCTCTCTCTCTCTCTGTTTTCCGATCGATCACGTTGCGTTTGCCGTCAATTTGCATAATAAGGCTCCCTCGCCTCGCAGCCATCTTGATTAACGACGTCAGAAGCGAGATACTCCGAAAATTTTCCTTTCGCTCCGACAATCGATGAATAAGCCGTAACATTAACGTGACATGCAAGCTTCCTATTTAGCCTATCTTCTCTCATGATTTCGGCACGTCAGTTTTACGACTATCTATCGATTGTTAACAGTTTTTCGGAACGTATCGCACCGTAAAACATTTCGATCGACCGATCGATCACGAGAGTACCACTTTGCGAACATATCGTTTCAACGTATCATTCCGCACTAATTTCGGAATACATTTCCTTGCTTCTGACGTCATTGATCAAGATAGAAACAGGATGCTCGAAGAGATTCTAAGAAACTACTACAGCATGATACTTGCTGCTCGAAAAGATGATTATACATTCTGATGCTTGTAATTTAATTCATCGTTACTCCTACAACTGTGATTGAATTCTTCTCGAGCTAGTTCTCGCGTACTTCTGGCAGTTCACGCGCTCTCTTACGTAAACGCAATCAGCGTAAATAAATTAAATCGAATCACGGAGTGAGTTTATTTTGCCTGACGCAAGCGCCGAGCGCAGATAGCGCAGATAATTTGCCGATAACGCGGTGTGGATAGAATTAAATGTGGCTACAACGTGATTCTATCTCGCGAGAAATCTGTATCGCGCGCGCTGTATTGCCTCATATTGATATACCATATCTTCGTCCTCCTCCTCGCTGTCGCTCGAATGTCGAGGCAGCCGGGTGTTCGCGTAGTGAAGACTCTGCGGCGGCACCATTGTTATCGTGCTCTTATCGTCGACCATGTCACAACTCGACTGACAGGGCGCGCAAGGACTGGGCGGCTCGCTAATGGGCTCGTCCTTGATTTCGGAACAAACTTCGTTGTCTTCAGGTACTAGACCGTTCCTCTTGAGGATCACGGTCGAGGTAGAGGACGACGTGAGCGAGGACGAAGCTTCGCCGCGGCCTGAGGCTGTGCTCATCGAGATGGTCGGGAAATAGTCCTCCATTTCTGGAATAACGCGGCTCGTGAAAAGGGAAGAAAGGGAACGCTTGTAGGACACATGTATATTATTAAATTTGGTACAGAGAATACTCCGAGATAAGTTTACATGTGTAAAACATATATCATGTTTTACACATATATGTATGTACATAATATGTCGCAATAAGTATATGAGATCTTACCGTCGATCCTGCCGCGAAGAAGTTCGTGAGATTTGTGATCCAAGTGGACGAAATCGATGGAGGCAGCGGTGCTCGCCGTAGTTGGATCAACAGTACCCGAGGACGAACTCGAATTAGGCGTGTGAGGATCACCACCCGGCATCGCCGGGCTCGGAGGAGGACTGGAAAGCCGAAGGCTGTAACTGTGCTCGGATTTGATCGGCCGGGGCCCGCCGAGAGCCGCGTCCGTCATTAGGCGATCTCTCAAGACCACGTCGTTGTTCTGCACATACAGAACGTTGTTCCATTCCTCCTCTCTCTCCTCTTTCGTATACATTAGGATATCCTGGTGGAACATCTGCAATGTGAGCGAGAATTTGCTTGAATTTTAGAAAAAAAAAACATCACTCTCCCTTGAGTCTTACGTAGTGAAAAATATTTTAAAAATACAATACGTTAAATTAACATATTCGCCTTGTCGACATATGACCTTTTTAACGTATTTACTCTGTTAAAGTAATACAGAAACTTAGGTGAACGGTTTGTAACGCAAATCGTTTTACTGTGTGTAGAATAAAATAGTAAAAATAGAAAACATCCAGAGAATCGTACTAATGGAGATAGACGTGTCAAGTTTTTTACTAAATTTCGGTGATCTCAAGTAAATAAAATAATAATCCAATTCGAACATTCCAAATTATTATAATTATTATTCAAAATTTCTGTTGATTTTTATTTCGATATTTCACGTTTTCGCGGTGCGGAGAGGTTTGAATCTCTGGTTAGAGCGCTTCCTGTGAAATTTGCTTTCAAACGCTTCGTGAACGTTTCAGTTCACTTTATCAGAGAAAGAATGCGTGTACGTCGTTATCTCGTTGTATCGATTGCTATTATATATTATCGATTGCTATATCCTATTAGATCCCAATTCAAGCTTACAGAATCAATATTCGTGACGTGTTCGGATCTTGGGGAAAAATACATTTTTATATCACATTTTATTTCTCCACCTAAAGTCTTGAGTTAAAAAAAAAATCAGAAATCGTCATTGCGCGACGGAAGGCGGACGGAATCCCCGAATTTTCGGTCGTTCCAGCGAATTAACATGATCGCACCATTAATCTTTCGAAATGTCCTCGCGACCGATTGCCATTTTTCCGCCAGATCTCAGATAAATATTGATTCTCCGCCAAGGAGTAGACAAGCCGCGCGCCACACACACACCGCTGATTCGACTCCCCAGGAATCCGGTGTCTCAGGTGGCCGTTGTTCAATTCGCCAGACGACGGAAACGCAAAAGTCCCACGCACACGCCCGCGAAATTTCACATCGCTCCGCGCGAAGTCGCACGATCGGCGTTTCGTATGCTGTACCATTCTCCGGAACGAAGAGTTGCACGATTTTCAGCACGTAACGCACAAAGGTGAAAATCGCAGAAGCAACTCCAGTTACAGCGATCGACTTACAATGACTCTAATTAAATATTACTTTATCCGTCGAGTAGAATTCTGGAAGTATAAGAAGAGTCTGGCCATCTCGGTCATTTCTTACTGACCGGTCCAGCTCCTTTTGACATGAAAATGACGGAGCTAAGAAGCGTCGGTTAAAGAAACTCTAATTATAACAAAATATTGCTCTAAGACGGGAGATGAGTAATAATCGAGTATAACAAAGTATAATAAAGAAATGCATTCTCTCTTATAAAAAATTAAACAATCTTTTTCGAAACTTGAAGCCGGCCTAAACTTCAACCCTCGAACTGAGGAATAATGAGGCGAGATATGAAGCGGCGTGCACCTGTGAGAGGCTAAAAATGTTGGAAAATGGAGCACGATTAAAGAAAAAGATCTTCATTTCGGTACGGCGTACACACGACGCCGACTACGCGAGTCAATGGACACGGGAGAGAAAGAGCGCGGGGTCCGAGAATTGTCAACGGCCGCCGCCGGCGCTCGTCCTCGTCTCACGGCTAGGTGTCAAGGACCCCGCTTCTAAAATTATACGAGCGAGCGTTCCGCGAGCGGTCACGCCGCGGCGACGCGTAAGCGAAGGAGAAGGGCGCTCAAGTTGCGAGCGGTCAAGTTGAAGGTCGGCCGTTACCCGAGTCCAGAGGTAGCTCGGTAGCAACGACTTGGTGCCCTTCTGCCTTCCCCGGCGACCCAGCAATGCGGAACCCACCGCCAAGGTCAGAGGCGCGTCTCTTCGTCTTCTTCTGCTAACGAAGCTGCCACCGCGCGGCCGACCTCATCGCTTCGTCGTCGTCGTCGTCTTCGTCTTTGCAGTTGGTACGCCGCTCATTTTTCTGCTTCGCTTCTCTTTCTTTCTATCTTTCTCTCGGCCGTTATGCGGAGCTCGCTCCGCTTAGCCGGCCGAGCGGGAATAAATGTTTGGCCGAGACACGGCCGATGTGTCTGTCTGCGCGCTTGTCGTCGCGCGTGTTAACGCCGGCTTAATGAAAATGCGATCCGAGGTGCGCGCCCGACGAGAGTTTCCCCGGTGGAGTTCTCGCCGCGTCTCCGGCTTCCCGGCCATCGTCGGCGAGAGATCCTTCCGTTGCTCTTACCATGATCGCGTTTTCCTCTAAACGACTTCAGGGCTCACACACACACTCTCTCTCTCTTTCTCTCTCCTCGGTCGCGCCTCCTCCCTTCGGCGGCACGAGAATGTAGCAATTTTCCGCAAGCGGGTAATTAGTTACAATGGGACCATTAGTGGCCAGCAACGCGGAACACGCGGTTGTCTCAAAAAAGCCCTCGCGAGAGCGTCCTTTGCTTTCCTCCAGCTGCCATTGTTCCTTCGTTTCTCCGCGCGGAGGTGCATCCACGCCGACCGCGCAGACCAGCATCACGAGGTTCTCAACGAGCTTCCATCCGATTTTCTCTCTCTCTCTCTCTCTCTTTCTTTCTTTTATCGTTCAATTTAATCAATTTTCTTCCTCTCCTCCTCCCTTCCACCTTATTACTTACATCAGCGACGAGCTCCTACTAGCCGGATGACTCGACGGTGAAACCGCGTTTGGTAACCCGACTGAAAAGAAGAAAAAAGAGAGAGGGAGAGAAAAAAGATGGGGTTTTACGCGAGCGAGACGAAGCGACACCGCTTCTCGCTTGACCGGCCAAACTGGTCGAAAATACATACTCGACTCATTCCCGATACCGGCAAAGTCGATCTCGCATCCGGCTGCGTGAGCGCGTCCGCTCGGCCGCGCGGCAATGCGGAACTCGACTCGCAAGGTCACCACGCGCACACACACACACCACTCTTCCTTTCCGTCTCTTCTTCCATCTCTCTAGTGCGAGACCCTCCCTTTCGTCCTTTTGCCCTTCTGTTTCCCCCCGTTAGACCGTCGGCCCGTTCGCGGCCGACGCTTATCTCCCCATCCTTCCACGCCTCGCTTCCGGCGGAAACGCACCGCCGCTAAACTCGAGCGACGATCCTCCCCAGTTGTCTTCTTGAAATTAAGGAGGAAACGAGCGCACGTCCCCNCCCCCCCCCCCCCATCCGCCTCCCTCTTTCCTCTTATCGCCCTTTACCCGTCTTCGGGGCCGTCGCAGTAGTATCAGCTTCTCTTCCTGTATCGCTTTTTTCCCCCTCGTTTCTCGTCCACGGTATCGTCTTCTCTTCCGTCTGCAACGTCAGATTCTCTTATCGCCAATCTCGTCGCTTATCTCTCACGTCCGAATTTCAACAACGCGACGTCCTCACGAAAGCCGTAGAACAGCGAGTACACTCGCTGTGAATCATTGCCATCAATCGAATTTGCGTAATAGCGAATTAATGGACGCTAATGATTTTCCTCGTAGACGTGCATCGGCGCTTCTCTCACACTCAGCGATGCCCATTCTTTTTCATCGTCCACCTTGTTCGCGACGTGCGCGAACAAGGGTCCACTGCGCGAAAGTCGCGTTCCCGTCGACGCTTCCTTTAACCTTGCTAAGATAATTTCTCTCTCTTTCTCTCTCTCTCTCTCTATCTCTTGCTAATGAAATAATTATTTCCCCGAATATCTATTGCGCGAATATCTATGCGCTAGCTTCTCTCTGCGCTGAGAGAAAAATATTTTTGCCGTATTCGTGCGCAACTATAATAGCTGTAAATGGTAGAATTGCAGTCAGGAGAGCCATTTTTCTAGTAAACGTTATCACACGGGAAATAGTGCTAGATTTGAGTGAATAAAATCTATAGATTCCATTTAACGCTAGCCTGAACAACGTTTTTTCGATGTTAAAAAGAGCGGAAACGGAAATTTAAGACGTCGTTAGGATTAAAGTAACAGTGAATGATGTGATTACAATTGAAGTTGAACCTATTTTGTTATCTTATCTCTACGGTGTTGCAGAATCGAAGGTTTAACATTTTTTCACGGATGTGAAAAAAGCCTTGACATCCTTGAAGAAAGGACTCACGACGGATCCGTGACTCGAGACTCTCCTGCGTGATGAGGACGAAAAGTGTCTGACAAGTCGAGCGCAGATCGAGTGATTAATCGTTCCGCGACGTTTTCTCTCCCCGTTCGTTATTGCGAGCGCCTCCTCCCGCGGCGTTTTCGCTAGAAATCAGCCTCAGCTCCTTTCTTTATGGCTGGGAGTCACGATTGAATTCGTACGCCGCGAAATAACAGCGTACGCGAATCGGCGCATTAAGCAAGACGCAACGACAACGCGGAGAGGGAAGGAGGAGTCGGTCGGCGAGCTCAGCAATTTTCCTCGGCCGGTGAGTTATTTCGCCGTCGTGACATTATTTCGTCGTTTCTTCTTCTTCTTCTTCGAGAAATCGCGACGCCTCGCGTCAGCAACCGCGACTCTGCTCGCGCTCGCGATCGCTATTATTTTCCCGTGTACGATTATTATTACGCGCTCCTCCGCTTATCGGAGACTCGTGATTTACGAATTTACGAGCGCCACCGGCGCCCGCAATAATTGACTAAGGACGATGAGCGGAAGTCGATTAAGTCACGCCGAGGATTAGACGCGTGTTCGTCGCGGAAACGAAATCCGAGGCGCGATTCGATTCGAAGCTTCAATTCCATCGATTTCCATCGATCACACGAAAACTTAATCAACGACATCGAATAGCTAGAGGCGTGCCAATGAACGAAAAAAATCGTCGATGGAACTCCGATAGATGGTTCATCATTATCATCGCAAGGATATTTCCGAATATTTATCAGCGATTTCAATTTCCAGTTTTCAACGTTCTATCGACGTATCGTCGCGAATAATTTCGACACTTCACGATTTCTAAAGTACTTTCGTAACACGCGAAAGGAACGCAATATCCGCTAATATCTGAAGTGAAATATTTTCAAGATATTAAGTAAAAACATTCAAGAGAGAGAGAGAGAGAGAGACATCAAAC